GTGCAGGGTGCTGCACTTGGGCAGTAGTAACCAGCAGCACACTTATAAGATGGGAAACTCCCTTCTTGAGAGCACGGAGGCAGAAAGGGATCTTGGAGTCGTCATTGACTCCAAGATGAACATGGGCCAACAATGCAAGGTCATGGTCGGCAGGGCTAACCGTACCTTATCGTGCATCCACAGGTGCATCTCAAGTAGGGCCAAGGAGGTGATCCTCCCCCTCTATGCAACACTGGTCAGGCCACAGCTGGAGTACTGTGTCCAGTTCTGGGCACCCCACTTCAAGAGGGATGTGGACAACATTGAGAGGGTCCAGAGGAGGGTCACCTGCATGGTCCGGGAACAGCGGGGCAGACCCTACAATGAGAGGCTATGGGACCTGAACCTGTTCAGCCTTCCCAAGAGAAGGCTGAGGGGGGACCTGGTGACTGTCTGTAAACTCACTAGGGGGGACCAGAAGGGTTTGGGGGAGACCTTGTTTCCTCTAGCGCCCCCCGGGAAAACAAGGAATAACGGCCACAAGTTGTTGGAGAGTAGGTTTAGATTAGACATCCGTAAGAACTACTTCACAGTCAGGGCGGCTAGGATCTGGAACCAACTTCCAAGGGAAGTGGTGCTGGCTCCTACCCTGGGGGTCTTTAAGAAGCGGCTCGATGCCTACCTGGCTGGGGTCATTTGAGCCCAGTTTTCCTCCTGCCCAGGCAGGGGGTCAGACTTGAAGATCTACAAGGTCCCTTCCGACCCTACTTCTATGATTCTATGAGCCACTGGCTCCGTCCCCTGTCCCACCCCAGCCTGGCTGGACAGTGCCTGCCCCAGTCCTACCTCCTCCCTCACCACAGGTCCTCAAGTCTGCCAACCCCACCCCCCTCTCTCTGGCCCCCCTTTCCCCAAACAAACTTACCAGCCAGATGGTGCTCTTCGTGCCACCAGGCTGCATATTGGCAGTCAGATTTGTATCAGCCAATATGGATGGTAAATAATCAGCTGTTGGTATCAGCTCAAAATATCTATAGGTACACCCCTAATTTTCTTACCTTCAAATGTAGCAAAATCTATATCTTTCTTCCTTTTGCCTTTTTTAGTGAGAGACTTGATTTTACCTTCACTGTTTACATCTGTTCTCAAGGAAAAGTACACAGTTCACTAATTTGAATACCAACATGCATTTTAATGTCCATTTTAATGTCCAGGCAAATATATCTGTTACCCTAAATAAATATTATAATAACCATACACATGGCCAAATTTTAGTATAAACCCACAGAAAACATGAGAAATACTAAGTTTTTCTTGCCATTTTGTATTGCTCTTTTTCAAGTATCAGCAATACAGAAAAGGAGTAACACATTGATCTCAGCCACCCTTGATATGAAATTCACTGGAATAAGTTTGATAAAAATACTAAGTTATGTAAACCCTGGTGGTATGCTTAACAAACAAGCTGGCACGTTATGTAACGGCACCCACATAAAAATATCAGTTTACTAATGTCCACCTAAACAAGCTGGTTCTGTTCCTGATCACTTCCCTATCTTCTCAACAATGCATTATTTATAAGCACTACCTTAATCTTCTTGTTTGTGCAGACTTTTCAGTGTTTACCTTATAAACTGCGTCTCTGGATGCATAAAGTGATCAAACCATTGGAAGCTGAAATCAAACAATGAATTCTTATTACATGTATAGCTTTTTAAAAAATTAAAAACATTGAAAAATCATTACTTAAGAGCCACCAACTTGAAGAAGATAAATGGTCTAAAACTAACTAGGGAAGGATTTAAAAAAATGAAAAGTCGCTAAATGCTTGCTTAAACTAAGAGTTTTTCCAAACATCTTGGAAGATTTCTCTCTACTCCTTCCCAAGTGTTCTGTACTGGTCATTTTATAGTCATTTGCTTAAAGACCTAACTTTTTGGTGCTGCTGTTTCCAAGCTGCAAAGAATGATGGCACTTGCTTGCAAAGTATCTGAACTAAAGTTTTCAAAATTGGGTACCTAAATCCAGACATCTACTCCCAGATTTGGGCTCTTAAAGAAAATAAGCGTTATTTTCATAAGCAACAAGCGCTGTCAGTTCCCACTGCTGTTGAAATCCAGCAATACCACCGTCTGAGTTCCTTTACAAAGAAAGGAGCAGAGTTGCTCAAGGTTCACTCCATATATTCTGGCTGGAGTCCTCAAGCAGGTCAAGAGCAATGGATAGTATTGCAGCAGAAGTGGTAGTACCACCTATTATGCAGGATGCCCAACATTTTCTATTACATAAACCTGTCTTCATTTGCTTATAACTTTGCCAGACTTTTATTATTTGGTCTGAAAATTCCACACCAAGTGTCTGCTGCTCGTATAGGTCTGATGAGGCCAAAAACTGGGTAACTACTGGTTGCTTCCATGAGAAACTGGTAGCCTATTGATCAGGTAACAGTTATTGGTGGTTTTGTTGGCTTTGAAAGTTTCACCCTGACACATTCTGCTACGTCAGAGAACGAGGCTAGGAAAATATGCACTGGGACCTGCTGAATCAGAAGCCTGGGGCTGGGCATAGGAAGGTGTAGTAAAGGAAGTGCAGCTAGGGGAAACTGAGGGTCTGGCAAGCTCAGAAGTTTGCTGGGATTTGAATAAGAAGCTTGAAGCGTGGGAAATGGGACTGCAGTGAGGTGAAGTAACAGGTGAAAAAAAGTAACACATTAGAAGGGTCAGCACAGAATTAAACAAGCTTGAGGGAAGCAGACTAAAGCAGTTGTGCCTGCTACAGCAGTGATGCTCAACCTTTCAGCCCTGCTGCCTGCATTAGTGGTGCAGGCACCACATGCCAAATCCAACTGCAGAGCAACCCCGTGTGTCGGCTTGGTCCTGCATGCTTCTGGTCATGGAGTGACCCTGAGTACTGGTTCTCATTGAGCATCACTGCACTATAGTAATCTCCCTTCCAAAGTCTAGAAAGAAACATGAGATCCCTGATTCTCTTCATTCCTCCATTGCCAGCAAATACCTGTGAAAGCCACAGACAAAGTATGCAGCACAGTGACTGTCACTGAGAGAATAACAATCTGCTATTGCTGTTGTTATATGTTACTGTCAGCTCATGTGGCAAAGGTATGCAGGATACATGAAGGCTTCATTCCAGCTCATGGTCCATGTGCATGCCAATAGAATGCCATGTAATAGAAAAATTGGAAGCTAAACTCAAGATATTGCACCACACTGATGGGGATGAAAAAGAGAATATTTGATTTCTTGGGCTGTATTGCTCACTTTAAGGCTTGTGCTCCTTAAAAAGTTACTGCAAGACATACTGCTTATGAGTTAAGGTCTTCTGTGTGATCAACTTAAACTGGTTTCTCATTCTTCTGAGAGTGAGTTCAAGAAAAGTTCAAGCTGTCTTCAATTTCTGTGAACCCCATAATCCAGAGGTGGGCGAAGCTATAACCCCTGTCTTGCCTCCCTCCCCTCCCCCCAGTGCCACTCCTGCTGGCAGGGTGGGGAGCTGCTCCGGATCCTGGCTGGGATCTTGCAGTGGTGACGGTGTGGTCCAGAGCCAAGACAGAGCTGTGATCTGCAACCTACATGCCCTGGGCAGGGACATGCAGCCAGCAGATCGCAGCTTTGCCCTGGCTCTGCACCATGCTGTCACCACCACAAGATCCCAGCTGAGCTCCAGAGCAGGTCCATGCCCTGCCAGTGCTGCTAGGGCCAGTCTTTATGGAAACTGGAATGCTGTCAGAATGCAGCTGCTGCTGGGGTCTCCCTGGAAACCAGCCCCAACCACAGGGCCAGGAGCTGCTGGGAAATGAAGTCCAGCCATCAGCTGGATCCACCATTTTGCCCACCTCTGCCATAAGCCCACAAAAACAGAAAACCCTCCACCTTTGCTCCTGCTCCCCCAACTCTAGTTTTTAAGCCTAATTCCCTACCCTCTGAGGTTACCTTATGCATCAGTCTCTATTTAATCATATTTGTTTGGGCAGAGGGAACTGCAAGTTAGAGCAGCAATTACTGTGT